GAGAGAGAGAGAGAGAGAGAGAGAGAGAGAGAACCACCAGTACGCCAAACACAAACAGTACGGTGACCGTAAAATCTTCCCAAGGAGCTTTATAAAAACAAATTACTGTAACCTCCCTGGATCTACCGTAAACGTTTTCCGTACAAACATACTTTATTGGCTGGTCCAAAAAAATCTGGATTGTCAGCAGGAATTGGCCCTGTTTAGCAGCTAGCAGAAAGAGGTGGATGAGGAGAAAGAAGGGGAGGGGGAGGGGTGGAAGGGGGTTAGAGGAGAAGGAGGGTTTACTACTGACCTGTTTCACAACTTGATTATAGGCAAAGTGCACATGTCAGCAGATAGTTGCGAGTAAACATCTTGTTATTTCACTTCACTGCGCGTTCTAAAACTACGTCATTCAAAAACAAAATGAAGTAATCTAATTTTGAAACAGATTTTCGCCATGACCTTACTGATGTAAACTCCTGATTACTGGACGTAATTTTCAAGTCCTCTGGTGAACCTGGAGATGTTTAGACATTTTGCTTATTATGCTAAAATTTCACAATGTTTCAGAAAACACACCCCGTTTCTTTTCTCGAGGAAAGTTCCACGTTAAAAAGACCGTCCGTGAACCCAGTTTCTGGGGGCAAGATTCCCCATCTCTGTCTCTGGCACAAACATCCTGTTTCTCTCCATTATTAAGGAAAAGTGTTTACGTAGGCTATAACAACATTAACACGGAGCTCAGTGGAAAGTGCAGCTTCATTTCTTTTCAGAGCTTTATTTTTTCAATTAAGTTTTGTTTTTGCTCCCCGCTCCTCCTTCATAAAAGCCAGCGTGCCTGTGTCTAGCACCGCAACGTCTTGGTGAGCTGTGACTTTGCGCGTGAGCTTTCACCAAACTACCGGATCTGTGAGAAGTAGATCAGGGAGGGACTTTGTGCCTTTCACCAAACTACCGGACTTGTGAGAGGCTACAGCAGGGTGAGTGACTTAGCGACAATTATCATCGACTAGCAACAGGGTCACCTTTTTGTGCTTTGTTGTTATTGTTGTCATCGTTGTTGTTGTTGGTGGGGTTGTTCTTGTTGTTGTTGTCATTGTTGTTGTTGTTGTCGTTTTTGTTGTCGTTTTTGTTGTTGTTGTTGTTGTTGTTGTTGTTATTATAGTTGTTGTTATTATCATCAACAACAAAATTACTTGCAGAAATGACACCATTTTCTATGGTATGTGTTGGCAGGACTATTGACAGACGTATGACGTATGAAAATATATCTGAAGAGATGAAGTTTCTCTTTTTTTGTAAATCACTGCTTCACTTTTGGTACTAAAAAAAAATAAATCTTTACAACTTTCAGTAATACAATCTGGACCTTTTACCCTCACTTACAGAGCCCTAAACATTCGTGGCACAGCCTATCCTCAAACATCTCTTAAACTGGAGAATCAATGCCATCCACACTTTGCACAGCAAATTGTATCAATTTGTCACAACTTAATCATATTTTTTTTCAAAACAATCTAGGCTAGACTCAAAAACTTTCCTCCGTAAATAGATATCTATATAATGCTACAACTCTCCGTCGCGCGGAAAATGTTAATGGAAGTGTTCACAGCAGTTCCCACTTCTCACACGCAACACATTTTGCACACTATGTGGCCTACGTCACAGCTCCCCAATGACACTTTTTAGAGGTAAAACTTTAGCCCGTGCATAATCACGATCTCCTGATCAAAGACAAGTGAAATTGGTAAACAGTTCTGCTAATACTTTATAGTTAGTTTGAAGCTGTCATTCCGAACTTAATTTAGGGGGATGTCGTGGTCGAGAGGTTAAGGCGTTCACCTCTTATTCAATGGGTTCCGGGTTCGAATCCAAAAATCGACAGAAAATTTTCTTCTCTAAAATTTTCTCCTTTCACCTCCTTTCCTGCTGTCTGACAATGTTCTGTCTTCTGCTTTCGTCTCCAACGGTCCGGACAGTTGTGGCTGACGTCGACTGTAGTGTTGACCCAAAAAAATATTGGATAGTTTTGACATCTTTGGAATTATTTTTTTTAAAGTATACATTCCCCAAGAAAGTATTCAAAATTGAGTGTTTTCTCTCTCTCTCTCAATATGCCCTGCAGACTTCTAGGAAAAGTTGCTGGGAGATCTTTGGCACCCAAATACCACGCTGTGTCCTGACAATGGCCCTCAACATGATGTCTAGTTATGTGCTTTTGGTAGCAGCGGTGCTGCTGTCTTCCCAGGCACTGGTACTCAATGTAACAACAGACCAAGTGGAAGTAGGGAAAACAAGAAATGTTTCCCTAGAATGTCTCGACAACTTCCCCCAGCCAGATAATTCTGAGGTTGTAATGATAAGAGTGCTGAAAAAAGACCATGCTGGGTGGAACAGTTTTGCAGAGATCCGCGATTGCGACACGGAAGTACGGCCAAAACGTAAGGGTGTGCTCGCTGTGGCCAACAAGACCCTCACTGTAAACAGCTTTCTGCGGATCACGTGGCCCGTGGCGACTGACGATACCATAGGCACATTCAGGTGTGACGTAATTAGCCTGACGTCCTGGGAGGGTGTCAACTGGCAAAAGAGCCTACCCACGTTCATATTCCGTAAGAGTGACGTCACACTGCAGATCCTTAGCAGCATTGTGGAGGAGAACAAGAACGATTACCTCCAGCGACTGCGCTCTCAGAGGGAAACCATTCTGGAGCACGTGACAACCACGGCAGAAGAAGGCAAGAGACAGTGTGCGCAGCAAAAAGAGAACCTTCTACAAAACGTCACCGCGACCGTCGAGTCTCTGCGAGAGAGTTTTGAGAGCAAGTGGAAGAGCCAGCTACAGGTGAGAATCTCTATTGTTGTTGCTGTTGTTGTTGTTGTTGGTGGTGGTGGTGATGGTAGTGTTGTTGTTGTTGTTGTTGTTGTTGTTGTTGTTGTTGTTGTTGTTGTTGTTGTTGCTATTGTTGTTGTTTTCGTTATTGTCATTGTTGTAGTGCTCTGCCGTCGTAGCTGTCTCATAGTATTGTTCCCACTGGCTTGTCTAGCTGTCTCATAGAATTGTTCCCTAATACTGAGGAGTAATTAATATTTGCCAGGAAATATTGTCTTTTCCAGAAAGAGCAGCAAAATCTTTCCCCCACCAGAGCACCCCCCACCCCTTCCACCACCCTCTATTTCCATCCCAGGTTTGTGTAAGATTGAGAAGCCAAGAAAAGGAACCTCGTAACCTGACGTCATCTTCCACGCTATGTTTGTCCTTGACCTTGTCCACAGGGTCAGTGTTGACAGCGGTGAGGTTTGATACTGGCGAGGGAGGGAAAAGAATCATTAGTAGTAAGAGTGCGAGCAAACATTTCATTCTGCTCATATTTCTCCCACTTCCGCTGAGCTGGAAAGTTATTATATGTTATTTAAACAGGCAAGCTATGATCTCAGTGTTTCTAGTGAAGGTAGGACAAAATGATAGAAGAAGAAGAAGAAGAAGAAGAAGAAGAAGAAGAAGAAGAAGAAGAAGAAGAAGAAGAAGAAGAAGAAGAAGAAGAAGAAGAAGAAGAAGAAGAAGAAGAAGAAGAAGAAGAAGAAGAAGAAGAAGAAGAAGAAGAAGAAAAAGAAGAAGAAGAAGAAGAAGAAGAAGAAGAAAAAGGAGTAGGAGAAGGAGGAGGAAGAGGAGGAGGAGGAGGAGGAGGAGGAGGAGGAGGAGGAGGAGGAGGAGGAGGAGGAGGAGGAGGAGGAGGAGAAGTAAAAGGAGGACTAGGAGGAGATGTTTTTATTGGCTCGGTTCTCTACTAAAATGCGCATCAAAATTGGAAACCTTCTCTCGGGCCAGTAAAATTGCAGTCTTGAAAGAAGAAAGAACCCATACTATTACGATCTTCCATTCCGCCACAGAAGAGAGCGATATTGCGAGGTTGATGCATAAAGCCAAGGGAGTCTAAAAAACAATTACTCACCAGGCGACTGACAACACCTACAGGCTTCACTTTTGTCACGTTATTGATGTTGTTCCGCCAAAGAATGTTATGAAGCAAAAAAGATTGCTAATTTTGGTAAAAAGCCTCAACGCCCCCCCCCCCCCCCTTGCCATCGTCACCCACCTTCTTGAACTATTTGTGAGGCACCGTGGTGGAATCAGGCTGCTCTCGTCAAAATAATAAAATCGAAGAAAACAGCAGTTTTCTCCCTGCTTAACAATTTTTTTCACATTTTTGTTTTTGGGCTCAACACCTTTTATGTTCATTTACAAACACATTCCTTTGAGAATCTTACCCGAAAATTTTGATTAAACGCACAAAAAATATAAATTTACAGTTTTCATGGACTCTCCAGCTTTGGAATTTACCAAGCTTTGGCGGCCATTTTCTCACTAATTTTAACTCTTAAACAAGGTGACCCCCACATCCTTCAATCCAAAATATCTCCACTTCTACTGAAAAAGGAAGGGTAATTTATTCATTGAAAGCAAGACAAATGAACAAGCTTTGTGACGATACCAATATAATTCAATATGCCCACAAATTGACGAGAGCCTGATTCTACCACGTTGTCTCACATTTGATCTATTGCACGATATCCGGTGAGCCTAGGGGTCACAGTGGGAAGCAGACATGTCTCTCGGGAATAGGAAACTCTCTCTGATTGTCGTTATATGTAGAGGAGCGGCGTGAGTTGGTTGGGGGGGGGTATACTTTACTTTTACCATAATCTTCAAAACTCTTATGAGAGCTGTCACTTTCCAGGTCCTGAGCCACACAGTAGACCTGAAGAAGAGGGAGTGTCCACATCAGATGCTGTCCCAGAAACGCCAGATTTTGGAAAATGTGGAGACGATCATGGAGCAGAACAAACTAGCGTCTGTACAACTGGAAGGACGCATTCTTGGCAACGTCACTGCGACTTTTGAACAAAATAGACGGGAGTTTGTACAACTGGAAGAACGCATTCTTGGCAACGTCACAGCGACTTTTGAACAAAATGAAATGAAGTTATCACAACTGGAAGAACGCATTCTCGGTAATGTCACAGCGACTTTTGAGCAAAATGAAATGAAGTTTGTACAACTGGAAGAACGCATTCTCAGCAACGTCACGGCGATGATTGAGGCACTTAAAGCGGGTTATGAGCACAAGGTGAGCACCAAAAAAAGTCAGGTGCAGGTAAGAATCTCTCTTAGTTTTTGACGTCGCATATTGGCGAAGAGGGTGCTTTGGCGGAGCGGTTAGTGCGCTCGTCTCCCAAACGGAAAGTCCGGGTTCGAGCCCTGGCTCGGCCATGAATTTTTTTCGCCCCTTCCAGACCACCCAGCAGAGTAATGAGTACTTGACTTCGAGTTGGGGAAGTAAAGGCGGAAAGGAACTGGCCACTGTACCACGATATTCTGTAAGCGCAGGAAGTTGTCTCACTAACAGGGCAATCCCCAATGTCCGGATCGGATGCTGGAATAACTTTACTTTACTTTACTTTTAATACTGGTGAGCAAACTTTTACTTAGGAGTTTTTAATCCAAAAATTACACGAACATAATATATTATTCCTTTATCAGTGCATGAAGGACCAGTCTCCTTTTATATTGAACAATGGATATTCATTTATGATTCTCAACACGTCTCTCTTCCACAATTGTCTCTCTCTCTCTCTTTCTCTCTCTCTCTCTCTCTCTCTCTCTCTCTCTCTCTCTCTCTCTCTCTCTCTCTCTCTATCTATCTCTCTCTCTCTCTATCTATCTATCTATATCTCTCCCCCTCTCTCTTTTTCTTTCTGACTTTGTCTTTCTCTCTCTATCTGTCTGTCTGTTTGTCTGTCTGTCTCTCTGTCTGTCTGACTATCTATCTATCTATCTATCTATCTATCTATCTATCTATCTATCTATCTATCTATGACATTGAAAAGCTTTGAAATTGAGTAAATCATAAACTGGCAAACTGACTGAGAGATAAACAAGAAAACTGACTGAGTGACTTAGTGATAAACAAGAAAACTGACTGAGTGACTTAGTGATAAACAAGAAAACTGACTGAGTGACTTAGTGATAAACAAGAAAACTGACTGAGTGACTTAGTGATAAACACGAAAACTGACTGAGTGACTTAGTGATAAACAAGAAAACTGACTGAGTGACTTAGTGATAAACAAGAAAACTGACTGAGTGATAACTTGAGAAATTGCCTGCCCCACTGACGGATGTTTTTCAGCACCACTAGCGTTGTGTTACGCCAAACCAACTTCCCCTCGACATTTTCTACAGCCGTGCATCAAACTCTTTCTCTGTGGATTTTTTTCCCCAGCCCAATACGTGTGCTGACGTCACGATTCAAGCGCCCCGGCCCGTGGTCACCCTTTCTAATGGCATGCAAGTCGTCTGTGACACTGAGACAGACAACGGAGGCTGGATCGTGGTCCAGGTGAGATAACGTTCTACTCTACCACAGACTGATACAAGAGGCGGAACATTCTGTTTGTGTTCTGGGACGTCCCAGACAGTATATATAATAAGTATACGTATGATGCAAGTATTACCTCGCTAGGGCATATGTGTCAAGACGCGGTGGAATCAGGCGCTCGTCAATTTTTGGGGATTTGGAGTTATTGGTCTCATCTTAAAGTATGTTTATTTGTGTTGCTTTCTTGGAAAAAATACCCATCTATCTTGAATAAAAGTCAAGATATTTGTGATGGAAGGAAGAAGGGTCGCCCGGTTTCAGTGTTAAAATTGGCAGGACAAAGTTTGACAATTTCAATAGCTGGAGAGTAATTGAAAACGATAAAATTACATATTGTGTGCCTTTAATCAACCCTTTCTGTGAAATTCACACATGGAAATGTGTTTTTATATGGACACAAAAGGTGTTGAACCCAAAAAAAAAAATCCCTCAAAAATTTGATAAAAGTTGCCAAACTGGTGGGAAAGTGCCTTTTTCTTCAATTTCACTATTTTGACGAGCGCCTGATTTCACCAAGATGTCTCACATATGGTTGTATTTCTAAAAAGTTTCTGCCATTTCAGTAATCCTAAATTAGAGGATCGCATCGCATACCCTAAACTATAGCATTGTGTTTTTAAAAATACCATCACAGGACACACTGGAATGAAGATTTGCCGTAATTTCACAACAATAAATAAAACTTTATGTGTGCCTGGAGACCAAAGGTTATACATTTTAATAATGTTGAAAAATTATAATTAATTTTTTTTAAAGAAATCAAAAGTCACATTATAATCTTTACAAGATCAAGTTTATTTCCAACAAATAGAGTGGTTTAATTAGCATATTTCATGATAACAAGCCTCACAAAGTTTCATAATGTTCTGTCATGTCTACAGAGGCGTACCTCGGCCGACGTGGACTTTTTCCGGGGCTGGGTGGACTACAAAAAAGGGTTCGGTGACCTCTCTGGAAACTTCTGGTTTGGGCTGGAGAAAATCCACCTGCTGACATATAAGGTATTTTCCTTCCGAACATAATAATTATTTTCATTATCAATCTAATCTTATGTGACAGCACTGAGTGCCGCTGCTGTTGTCCATGCTGATGTTCTTGTTGCTGCAGACATGGCTGCTCGTTGTATTAGTTCCGTTTATTATCCTCAATATGAGTGTCACTCTTTTTATTGAAAGGTAGTAGTCTCGGCATACGTTTACCCACATGACTCTGTTATATCGGAGATGGACGTTAAATCGGAGCCTCTTTACCTTGATACCTTACCATAATAATATTTGGAAGTTACATTAATCCACCCTTGTAAGCAAAGTAGATTTAATCTAGTGGTGGTACGTATTGAGCGGACGAAAATTCGTGGCGCAACTTATCCCTTTAACGGTTGAATCAATATTACCCGCCATGCTTTGCACAGCAGTTTGTATCATTTTGCCCTAAATCATATTTTTTCCACAACAATTGAGGGCCCCTAAACTCAAATTTGAACCTCTAAATTGATGTGAAGTCCAGCCCATATCCGTTTGAGATAAAACAGTCGGGGTGTGTGTGTGTGTTGAGATCTCGTGTATCTATCTGCATGACGTATATATACGACAGCTGTGGGGTGTGTGAGTGTGTGTTGAGACCTCGTGTATCTATCTACAAGACATATATATACGACAGCTGTGGGGTGTGTGTGTATGTTGAGACCTCGTGTATCTATCTACATGACGTATATATACGACAGCTGTTGGGTGTGTGTGTGTTTAGATCTCGTGTATCTATCTACATGACGTATATATACGACAGCTGTGGGGCGTGTGTGTGTGTTGAGATCTCGTGTATCTATCTACATGACGTATATATACGACAGCTGTGGGGTGTGTGTGTGTGTGTGTTGAGACCTCGTGTATCTATCTACATGACGTATATATACGACAGCTGTTGGGTGTGTGTGTGTTTAGATCTCGTGTATCTATCTACATGACGTATATATACGACAGCTGTGGGGTGTGTGTGTGTGTTGAGATCTCGTGTATCTATCTACATGACGTATATATACGACAGCTGTTTCAGTTTTCCTCTTGTTCTCATCATCAGGAGAGGTACGAGCTGCGGGTTGACTTTACGTACAATGGGACAAACTACTACGCCATTTACAAAAACTTTTTGTTGCTTGGAGAATCCGAGAATTACAAAATTAAGATCTCCGGATATTCAGGTAATGCAGGGGACCAAATGAGTTATCACAATGGCCAGGCGTTCAGTACGAAGGACCGTGAATACAGTCCTTCCAACTGTGCCAGTATACGTCATGGAGCTTGGTGGTACAACCAGTGCGCGTACGTGAACCTCAACGGGGCGTGGGCCACAGAGGAGTACGCTAAGGGCGTGTTTTGGGTCCGTGTAACAGGATATGCCAATTCTGCCACCTTCAGTGAAATGAAAATACGACCACTGGCAAAATGACAGCTTTATGACGGCGAATACTCGGTGTTCTGATTATGTACGAAGCTTGTGTGTCCATATATTATTTTGTTCGAAAGAAAGAGGGAAAATGGTAATAATACTAAACATAGATCCACACTGTATACGTATTTTTCTCACTTCCCACAGACTGAGCCCCATGCGCTTAATATATTTTTATGATGTCACAGATATGTATAATATGTACATGCCTCCTTGAACACACACACACACACACACACACACACACACACACACACACACACACACACACACACACACACACACACATAAACACGCACATACATATTACGTACATGCTCTCATACGTACACATACCTCAACACATGCATGCACCCATCAACACGTAGTACACACACACAAACACACACGCGCGCGCGTGCGCGAGCAGACACGAACATACACATACGCTAATGTATTACCGTATAACTCTTTCTTTTTCTATCTCTCTCTCTCTCTCTCTGTCTCTCTGTCTCTCTGTCTCTCTGTCTCTCTGTCTGTCTGTCTGTCTGTCTGTCTGTCTGTCTCTCTCTCTCTCTCTCTCTTACACACACACACACACACACACACACACACACACACACACACACACACACACACACACACACATTCTCTCTCTCTCTCAAACACGCCCCCCCCCACACACACAAATACACACACAGACACACGGAATCACACACACACACACACACACACACACACACACACACACACTCTCTCTCTCTCTCTCTCTCACACACACACACACACACACACACACACACACACACACACACACACATACACACACAGACACACACACACACAGATCTACTGCAACACAGTTGGTTCAGTTTATTGAAAATGAACTTAGCAGACAATGTAAATACATTATTGTCTACTTCAACACTGTTAGCTCGGTGTGTGGAAGTGGAACTCAGTCGGCAATGTAAAGATAATAATTGTCTTTAGATATCAATATTATTCTAGATCTACTTGTTCTTGACCAAAATGTACCTTACCTCTCTTTTTGTTGTATCATTCAGACACGAATTGGTCTGTGTTTGGTAAAAGTATGTCTGTACGTTCCCTGCATGTATACAGGAGGAGCCAACTAAACAGTACAATAAACCTCAACACGTTGTCCCAAGGCTGTTGTTTGGTTATTTCTGATTCTTTTGTCTGTTTACACATACTTGTATTTTGTTCTTGGCTTAAACATCTTCTCCTCTCGGATTCTTCTGATCAACTTCTACAAGGCTAGCATTTAACTGAGGAAAAATGTTGTTCAGTGTTGAAAGTTGAGAATATCAATCCACTCAAACATACAGACGGGGGCTCTCGTGGCCTAGAGGTTAAGGTGTTCGCCTCTCATTCAAAGGTCTCGGGTACGAATTCGGGTAGTCACGGAACATTTTCTGCTCTAAAATTGTCTCCTTTCATCTTCTTTGCTGCTCTCTACCAATGTTTTATCGTCTGCTTTTGTCTCCTCTTTCTGCCCCTACCCCCTCACCCCATTTGTCCTCTCCTCTGGGCTCCTGACTCTTTCTGCAGCCTTTCTACTGCTACTCCGTGGCTCCTTCTTTCTGCTGTCTCTCAGCCACACCCCTGATCTTCTGGTAGGAAATATCTACACCTTGCCTTCTCGGACAAGGGCAAAAAATGTCAAAAGGGCCCGTGTGCAAGCTGCGCACGTTAAAGATCTCTTAGTGATCTCATATCGATTAGAGTAGGTTTCGGCCGCCACCAGAGCAAAATTCCAAATTTCCAACCAATTGAAAATGTTTAATGTGTCCCGCGCGCTCACATGACTTTATGCAGTTGTGAGTGCCGTAATACACCCCCCCCCCCCCCCCCCACCCCCCCCCCAAACACACAAAAAAAACCCCAAACAAACAAAACAAAAAACAAAACCAATAAAACAAACAACAACAAAAACCCACCAAAAAAAACCCCAAACCATACAGACATCAAAAAGACAAGTGGCAGAACAAGCAACTATGGTTGTGTAAATTCTTACAGAACTTACAGACCCCGATTTGGAAAATATTTG